TTCTTCCCACTTTTTGGTAAAAGGGGGTCTTCGACCCCGGAAAAGAGGGAACCCCTTTTTCAATCCTTTAAAAAAAGGGGGAGTTGATAAAGCCCCCAAAGGGGGGGGGCCCGGGGAAAGGACCCCTTTTAAAACTTTTTTTTTACCGAAACGGGGTAAAAAACCCCCCAAAGGGCCCTGAAAAGGCTCCCCCCAAAACCCCAAAAAAACCCAAAATTTAAATTTTTTTTTAAAATATTTTTGGGTGGGGCCCCCCCCCTTTTTCCCCAACAAAAAAACCCTAAAACAGAAAAACCCTTTTGGCCCCCCCCCCTTTTTTCAAACCCTAAACCAGAAAAGTTAAGAACAAAAGGGGGCCCTGGCTCCACGGGGTGGGTATTTTTGAGGTTTGGGTTTTTAAAAAAAAGGGAAAAGGAAAAGGGGGGAAGGGAAAAAAAGAAAAAGGGGGAGGGAAAAGGGGAAGAGAAAGGGGAAAAGGGGAAAAAAAAAAAGGGGGAAAAAAAAGGGAAAGGAAAAAAAGGGGAAGGGAGGGGGGGGGAGGGGGGAAGGGGAAGGGGGGGGGGAGAAAGGAGGGAGAGAGGGAGAGAAGGAGGGGAGGAGGAAAAAAGGGAGAGGGGGGAGAGGAAAAAGGGAGAGAGAGGAGAGAGGGGGGAAAGAGGGGAGAGAGGGGGGGGAAAAAAGGGGGAGGGAGAGAGAGGTGTCGTGTGTGTGTGTTTGTTTGCGTGTGTGTGTGCGAGAGAGAATCAGTGTGTGTGTGTGTGTGGGTGTGAAAGAGAGCGAGAGATTATTTTAATTGTTTATTTAACTTTAGTTTATTATCTATTTCACTTGCTTTGTCAAACATATGCACGCCTCCAACTCAATCATCAAGTTTGCAGATGACACAACAGTAGTAGGCCTGATTACCAACAATGACGAGACAGCCTACAGAGAGGAGGTGAAGGCCCTGGGAGTGTGGTGCCAGGAAAATAACCTCTCCCTCAATGTCGACCAGATGTAGGAGCTGATCGTGGACTTCAGGAAACAGCAGAGGGAGCACACCCCTATCCACATCGTTGGGACTGCTGTGGAGCAGGTGGAAAGCTTCAAGTTCCTCTGCATACATATCACTGATGATCTAAAATGGTCCACCCACACAGACAGTGTGGTGAAGAAGGCGCAACAGTGCTTCTTCAACCTCAGGAGGCTGAAGAAATTTGGCTTGGCACCTAAAACCCTCACAACTTTTACAGATGCACAATTGAGAGCATCATGTTGGGCTGTATCACCACCTGGTACGGCAACTGCACCGCCCGCAACCGCAGGGCTCTCCAGAGGGTGGTGCGGTCTGCCCAATGCATCACCGGGGGGAAACTACCTGCCCTCCAGGACAACAACCACCCGAGCCACTGCCTGTTCACCCCGCTATCACCCAGAAGGCGAGGTCAGTACAGATGCATCAAAGCTGGGACCGAGAGACTGAAAAACAGCTTCTATCTCAAGGCCATCAGACTGTTAAATAGCCATCACTAGGCGGCTTCCACCCGGTTACGTAACCCTGCACCTTAGAGGCTGCTGCCCTATATACATAGAATTGAAATCACTGGGCACTTTAATAATGGAACACTAGTCACTGTAATAATGTTGACGTATTTTTGCTTTACTCATCTCATATGTACATACTGTATTCTATTCTACTGTATTTTTGTCTATGCCACTCCGACATTGCTCATCCTAATATTTCTAATATTTATATATTCCTTAATTCCATTATTTTACTTTTTGGTTGTGTGTATCGTGTGTATTGTTGTGAATTGTTAGATATACTGCACTGTTGGAGCTAGAAACACAAGCATTTCGCTACACCCGCAATAACATCTGCTAAACATGTGTATGTGACAAATACAATTTTTATTTATTTATTTTATGTGTTTCCCATGCCAATAAAGCCCCTTAAATTGAATTGAATTGAGAGAGAAAGAGAGCGAGAGAGAGAAATATATTTTATTTTGCATGTTAAGATGTGTGTTTTTATGACAGCTTCATGCATTATATAATTAACATCTGGTAATAGAAACTGGGCTATAGAGGATTATTAAAATCTATCAACAAATGGGATTTGATTTTTCTTTTTTTTAAACATGGTAGAGATTCCAAAGGACAAAGCCTGGACACAATGTCTCCAAAAGAGGAAGCACGGGACAACAGTATTTGCCACCTGCACACATTAAAATATAGCTAGTTTTAAAAACGTGATTAATTTAACAGATCACAAAATGGTTTGAAAGGTCATCACTGACAAAAAACAAAAGTGTATTGTAGGTGTAGCTACTCCTCCAACCGCTAGAGGTCCTCGTTACCCAATTAATTTTCAGGCCAAGTTTTGAACTTTGAACTTGGGAGGAGTCGCTAGTCACGGAGGTGTTTTACAGGTTTGCGGGTGGGCGAAGATTTGGCATTTACAAGGATTTGGACTGCATTCCAGGGAGGGTAAAGGCTGTCATTCATCATGGCCACCCTCGATAGATTATTTTAGCTTGCGAGCCAATGCTAGTTCGTGAATGAACCTGCAAGAGGGGCTTTTCTGAGTTGTTTTGCTCGCGAGGTGGCTAACATTAGCTAGCTGAAAAACATCCGGCTTTACCACTCAATAAGATGATTAGGTAGCTAGCCACCCTTTCCTACACGAGACTGTTTTTACGTCACATGCGCAAACTGTCATTTAACGTTAGACAAAGAAACAAAACGGTCAGTGAGTGTACCTGCGCTAAATAGCTAGCTATCTTATCTTCTAGCCAGCTAACGTTAGAGCAGTAGCTACGTTAGATATTCATCTAGCTACATCTTGGTTTGCCATCTAGTTCTAACTCTTTTTCCAAAGCAATGGCTGCAGACCTGCAAGCAAAATACACCAAATTGGCCCAGGAGTATTCAAAGGTAAGTGGCTTTTTGTTGCCCTATCTTTAGCCACGGTTCTTGTCTATTTATTCTGATTGCTGAATCATTCTAGCTAACTAACGTTGGTTTGGTTCAGTCTGTAATAATGGATTGCAGGTAAAGTAGCTAACGTTTGGTAGCTCTACTTATTTATGACAGGCAGGAAGTGAAGCCAGAGCAGAAGCCAGTGGTTCTCAATCTTTTTCGGTTACGGTACCACCAACTGCCCTGAAGTATGAAAATGTATGCATTCACTAACTGTAAGTTGCTCTGAATAAGAGTGTCTGCTAAATGACTAAAATGTAAGTAACGTTACCCCCTCGTACATTTTACCAGTGAGTCTTTTCTAGTACCCCCTGTGGATAGGCCAAGTACCCCCAGGGATCCTAGTACCCCTGGTTGGGAACCACTGCTCTAAACAACACAATGTTATACTTGGCTATGTTACACGGCCTGAGTAAAACAAGGCCAGCCATGTTCTTCAAACCCCATGTCATGTTACCCTAACCATAGAAAATGGATTTGTAGCCATGTCAATAGTACCCATCCTAAAACCCTTTGTAGACATTATAACAATAAATGTCTGTTAACTAGTGACTAGATTTGGTTAATATAAAAACCATCCTCGTGACCCACACTTTGTCAGCTGACAGGCAGTGGAGGGAATGCATGGTGTTTATTGTCTGGCTGTTGTTACATACCCCCCCTCCACAGGCCCATATCCGGTTCTTTGGAAGAAGCGCTGACATTGTATTTTCGCATATGTGGTGTGTAGTTGCCCAATAAGTAGCAACATTTATTCACCCAACCTTTGGAAATGTATGTGGAGTTCTATTGTTCAATCATCAAATATGGATGAAATCTCACACAAAAGCCATAAAATAGCTATGTTGCTTTGCTTAGAAGCTGAAGGCCTGTACATAGGGCGGCACACAATTGGCCCAGTGTCGTCCGGGTTTGGCCGTCATTGTAAATAAGAATTTGTTCTTAACTGACTTGCCTAGTTAAATAAAGGTTAAATATATAAATAAAACTGTCAAATTGGCCAGTTTGGTCTTTAGAGCTAGTGTGTGTGAGCTTGCGTACATGTGTGTGTTGCAGTAGACCTACATCTGTGTCTATACTCCCATAGCTCCGGGCCCAGAACCAAGTATTGAAGAAGGGCGTGGTAGATGAGCAGGCCAGCTCCACCTCTCTGAAGGTACACAACCATTCTGAGCCCATTGGAATAGTGTTGCACATTTCTCATTTTCCCCTCAGAAATCCTGGTTAATTGATTCCTGGAACCAGGAGGAAATACAGTGGCTTGCGAAAGTATTCACCCCCCTTGGCATTTTTCCTATTTTGTTGCCTTACAACCTGGAATTAAAATTGATTTTTTGGGGGGGTTTGTATCATTTGATTTACACAACAATATTTTTTTTATTGTGAAATAAGACAACAAAACTGAGAACTTGAGCGTGCATAACTATTCACCCCCCCAAAGTTAATACTTTGTAGAGCCACCTTTTGCAGCAATTACAGCTGCAAGTCTCTTGGGGTATGTCTCTATATGTTTGGCACATCTAGCCACTGAGGTTTTTGCCCATTCTTCAAGGCAAAACTGCTCCAGCTCCTTCAAGTTGGATGGGTTCCGCTGGTGTACAGCAATCTTTAAGTCATACCACAGATTCTCAATTGGATTGAGGTCTGGGCTTTGACTAGGCCATTCCAATACATTTAAATGTTTCCCCTTAAACCACTCGAGTGTTGCTTTAGCAGTATGCAGACATAGCGTTATCCTTGATGGCCAAAAAGCTGACCAGAGTACCTTGTCCATATGTTTAGGGATTCTCCCACACGCCTTTTGGGGAACACCAAACGTGTTTGCTTATTTTTTTCTGTAAGCAATGGCTTTTTTCTGGACACTGTTCCGTAAAGCCCAGCTCTGTGGAGTGTACGGCTTAGTGGTCCAATCTCCGCTGTGGAGCTTTGCAGCTCCTTCAGGGTTATCTTTGGTCTCTTTGTTGCCTCTGATTAATGCCCTCCTTGCCTGGTCTGTGAGTTTTGGTGGGCGGCCCTCTCTTGGCAGGTTTGTTGTGGTGCCATATTCTTTCCATTTTTTAATAATGAATTTAATGGTGCTCTGTGGGATATTCAAAGTTTCAGATATTTTTTTATAACCCAACCCTGAGCTGTACTTCTCCACTACTTTGTCCCTGACCTGTTTGGAGAGCTCCTTGGTCTTCATTGTGCCGCTTGCTTAGTGGTGTTGCAGACTCTGGGGCCTTTCAGAACAGGTGTGTGTGTATATATACTGAGATCATGTGACAAATCATGTGACACTTAGATTACACACAGGTGGACTTTATTTAACTAATGATGTGACTTCTGAAGGTAATTGGTTGCACCAGATCTTATTTAGGGGCTTCATAGCAAAGGGGTGAATACATATGCACACACCACTTTTCCGTTATTTATTTTTTAGCATTTTTTGAAACAAGTAATTTTCTTTCGATTTCACTTCACCATTTTGGACTATTTTGTGTATGTCCATTACATGAAATCCAAATAAAAATCCATTTAAATTACAGGTTGTAATGCAACAAAATAGGAAAAACGCCAAGGGGGTTGAATACTTTTGCAAGGCACTGTAAGGTGGAATGGAACCCTCCAACCAGGATTTCAACAACAACAAAAAACTGGGAGATTTGACTTGAAAGGCCTTGTATGCATTCAGTAGGGCTGTGGCACTCATGAAATGTTGTCAGACGGTTATTGTCATGCAAATGACTGCGGTCTCACGGTAATTGACCGTTAACATGCTTAGCATCTCCAGGCCTCCACCATACAAAGCTGCTGATGCGCCCTTTTGGAACATCTACATGTAAAAAAGTATAATAAATCCTTTTAATATACACCGTCACAATAAATCCATTATTTTAGGCAGGTCTAAGTAAACATTATGATATGAAGAAAATGTATTTTAGAAGAACCAAATGAGTCGGCCTGCTGTATGTTATCTGGCTATGTTCCATGCCATAGGCTGTAGGCTTGTTCATTTAGTAGACAAGATATGTTTAAAAGACCCGTGCCATTATTTTATATGATATGATTTTATTGTAATAATAATATATACAGAACAAAAATATAAACGCAACATGTAAAGTGTTGGTCCCATTTTTCATGAGCTGAAATAAAAGATGTCAGAAATGTTCCATATGCAAAAAAAGCTTATCTCTCAAATTTGGTGCACAAATTTGTTTACATCCCTCTTAGTTAGCATTTCTCCTTTGGCAAAATAATCCATCGACCTGACAGGTGTGGCATATCAAGAAGGTGATTAAACAGCATGATCATTACATAGGTGCACCTTGTGCTGTGGAAAATAAAAGGCCACTCTAAAATGTGCAGTTTTGTCACACAACACAATGCCACAGATGTCTTAAGTTTTGAATGAGCATGCAATTGGCATGCTGACTGCAGGAATGTCCAACAGAGCGGTTGCCAGAGAATTGAATGTTCATTTCTCTACCATAAGATTCCTCCAACGTCATTTTAGAGAATTTGGCAGTACATCCAACCAGCCTCACAACCGCAGACCACGTGTAACCACGCCAGCCCAGGACCTCCACATCCGGCTTCTTCACCTGCGGGATTGCCTGAGGAGGGGGAGGGGGGAACCAGTCCATCCAGTATGCATAATAATACAGTCCACACTCAAAGGCCATTACTAGAATTACAATGGGGGGGGGAAAGTATTTAGTCAGCCACCAATTGTGCAAGTTCTCCCACTTAAAAAGATGAGAGAGGCCTGTAATTTTCATCATAGGTACACGTCAACTATGACAGACAAATTAAGAGAAAAGAAATCCTGAAAATCACATTGTAGGATTTTTAATGAATTTATTTGCAAATTATGGTGGAAAATAAGTATTTGGTCACCTACAAACAAGCAAGATTTCTGGCTCTCACAGACCTGTAACTTACATTTACATTTTAGTCATTTAGCAGACGCTCTTATCCAGAGCGACTACAAATTGGTGCATTCACCCTATAGCCAGTGGGATAACCACTTTACAATTATACTTTTTTTTTTTCTTTTTTTTGGGGGGGTGGGTAGAAGGATTACTTTATCCTATCCCAGGTGTTCCTTAAAGAGGTGGGGTTTCAAATGTCTCCGGAAGGTGGTGAGTGACTCCGCTGTCCTGGCGTCGTGAGGGAGCTTGTTCCACCATTGGGGTGCCAGAGCAGCGAACAGCTTTGACTGGGCTGAGCGGGAACTATGCTTCCGCAGAGGAAGGGGAGCCAGCAGGCCAGAGGTGGATGAACGCAATGCCCTCGCCTGGGTGTAGGGACTGATCAGAGCCTGAAGGTACGGAGGTGCCGTTCCCCTCACTGCTCCATAGGCAAGCACCATGGTCTTGTAACGGATGCGAGCTTCAACTGGAAGCCAGTGGAGTGTGCGGAGGAGGGGGGTGACGTGAGAAAACTTGGGAAGGTTGAACACCAGACGGGCTGCGGCATTCTGGATGAGTTGTAGGGGTTTAATGGCACAGGCAGGGAGCCCAGCCAACAGCGAGTTGCAGTAATCCAGACGGGAGATGACAAGTGCCTGGATTAGGACCTGTGCCGCTTCCTGTGTAAGGCAGGGTCGTACTCTCCGAATGTTGTAGAGCATGAACCTGCAGGATCGGGTCACCGCCTTGATGTTGGCGGAGAACGACAGGGTGTTGTCCAGGGTCACGCCAAGGCTCTTCGCACTCTGGGAGGAGGACACAACGGAGTTGTCAACCGTGATGGCGAGATCATGGAACGGGCAGTCCTTCCCCGGGAGGAAGAGCAGCTCCGTCTTGCCAGGGTTCAGCTTGAGGTGGTGATCCGTCATCCATACTGATATGTCGGCCAGACATGCAGAGATGCGATTCGCCACCTGGTTATCAGAAGGGGGAAAGGAGAAGATTAGTTGTGTATCGTCAGCGTAGCAATGATAGGAGAGGCCATGTGAGGATATGACAGAGCCAAGTGACTTGGTGTATAGGGAGAAAAGGAGAGGGCCTAGAACTGAGCCCTGGGGGACACCAGTGGTGAGAGCACGTGGTGCGGAGACAGCTTCTCGCCACGCCACTTGGTAGGAGCGACCGGTCAGGTAGGACGCAATCCAGGAGTGAGCCGCGCCGGAGATGCCCAGCTCGGAGAGGGTGGAGAGGAGGATCTGATGGTTCACTGTATCAAAGGCAGCAGACAGGTCTAGAAGGACAATAGCAGAGGAGAGAGAGTTAGCTTTAGCAGTGCGGAGAGCCTCCGTGACACAGAGAAGAGCAGTCTCAGTTGAATGACCAGTCCTGAAACCTGACTGGTTTGGATCAAGAAGGTCATTCTGAGAGAGATAGCAAGAGTTGGCTAAAGACGGCACGCTCAATAGTTTTGGAAAGAAAAGAAAGAAGGGATACTGGTCTGTAGTTGTTGACATCAGTGGGATCGAGTGTTGGTTTTTTGAGAAGGGGTGCAACTCTCGCTCTCTTGAAGACGGAAGGGACATGGCCAGCGGTCAAGGATGAGTTGATCAGCGAGGTGAGGTAGGGGAGAAGGTCACCGGAGATGGTCTGGAGAAGAGAGGAGGGGATGGGGTCAAGCGGGCAGGTTGTTGGGCGGCCTGCAGTCACTAGTCGCAAGATTTTATCTGGAGAGAGAGGGGAGAAAGAAGTCAAAGCATAGGGTAGGGCAGTGTGAGCAGGACCAGCAGTGTCATTAGACTTAACAAACGAGGATCGGATGTCGTCAACCTTCTTTTCAAAGTGGTTGACAAAGTCATCCACAGAGAGGGAGGAGGAGGGGGGGGGGGGGGGAGGATTCAGCAGTGAGGAGAATGTGGCAAAGAGCTTCCTAGGGTTAGAGGCAGATGCTTGGAATTTAGAGTGGTAGAAAGTGGCCTTAGCAGCAGAAACAGATGAAGAAAATGTAGAGAGGAGGGAGTGAAAAGATGCCAGGTCGGCAGGGAGTTTAGTTTTCTTCCATTTCCGCTCAGCTGCCCGGAGCTCTGTTCTGTGAGCTCGCAATGAGTCATCAAGCCACAGAGCTGGAGGGGAGGACCGAGCCGGCCGGGAGGATAGGGGACACAGGGAGTCAAAGGATGCAGAAAGGGAGGAGAGGAGGGTTGAGGAGGCAGAATCAGGAGATTGGAGGGAGAAGGATTGAGCAGAGGGAAGAGATGATAGGATGGAAGAGGAGAGAGTAGTGGGAGAGAGAGAGCGAAGGTTGCGGCGGCGCGTTACCATCTGTGTAGGGGCAGAGTGAGTAGTGTTGGAGGAGAGCGAGAGAGAAAAGGATACAAAGTAGTGGTCGGAGACATGGAGGGGAGTTGCAGTGAGATTAGTAGAAGAGCAACATCTAGTAAAGATGAAGTCAAGCGTATTGCCTGCCTTGTGAGTGGGGGGGGATGGTGAGAGGGTGAGGTCAAAAGAGGAGAGGAGTGGAAAGAAGGAGGCAGAGAGAAATGAGTCAAATGTAGACGTGGGGAGGTTGAAATCCCCCAGAACTGTGAAGGGTGAGCCATCCTCAGGAAAGGAACTTATCAAGGCGTCAAGCTCATTGATGAACTCTCCAAGGGAACCTGGAGGGCGATAGATGACAAGGATATTAAGCTTAAATGGGCTAGTGACTGTGACAGCGTGGAATTCAAATGAGGAGATAGACAGATGGGTTAGGGGAAAAATGGAGAATGACCACTTGGGAGAGATGAGGATTCCTGTGCCACCACCCCTCTGACCAGATGCTCTCGGGGTATGCGAGAACACATGGTCAGACGAGGAGAGAGCAGTAGGAGTAGCAGTGTTTTCAGTGGTAATCCATGTTTCCGTCAGTGCCAGGAAGTCGAGGGACTGGAGGGTAGCATAGGCTGGGATGAAGTCAGCCTTGTTGGCGGCAGAACGGCAGTTCCAGAGGCTGCCTGAGACCTGGAACTCCAGGTGTGTGGTGCGTGCAGGGACCACCAGGTTAGAGAGGCAGCAGCCACGCGGTGTGAGGCGTTTGTGTAGCCTGTGCGGAGAGGAGAGAACAGGGATAGGCAGAGGCATAGTTGACAGGCTGCAGCATATGGCTACAATAATGCAGAGGAGATCGGGATGAAATGAACTAAACATCAGGGAAAGGAGAGAGCAGGCCTCCCTCACCAAAAAAAAAAATATATATATATATAACTCTCCCAACTTCCACCTCAGAAACTATAATTGTTTCACTGAACCACCAGAGTAAAACTCTCCCAACTTCCACTTTAGAAATTATAATTGTTGTAAACTACAGCAGACTGTTATCAGTAGCTGTAATTAAGTACAGCAGCTACCAACCACCTAACGTTAATGCCTCGGATGAGGTTAGAAAAACAGCTGAATGGTAGCAGCTAGCTGGCTCAATCACAGGTACTCTTAAGCATGAAATAACATTGGAAACAATTAACCACAGTTGCAAAAAGTTACCAGTAGCTACCCGCTAGCTAGCTAGCTTTGTTGGTCCAAGTAGTGGGTAGGCTAGCCTCGTGCTTCGCCGGAGTCCGCCGAATACAGTCCTTACCTACAATAATTACCTACAATAACCTTCAATAACTACCTGAGTAAGCTACCTATAATACCAAACTACAATACCTACCTACAATCTAAATACATGGTTTAAGCTTAACTCAACACCATATAAGAAGCCAAGCTTACCTTTCATAACGCAGCAACGATTAAACGTTGGGTAGCTAGCACAAAGATATTGTATTTAGCTACCACAGTACAGCCTGCTGGTAGTGTTGGCTGGCTAGCAATGGCTACTGTGTTGACTTTGTTTGAAAAACGGCGTCGCTGCGAACGAATGTAGCTGGCTAAAAGGATATTGTTTTTAGTTGCAACCGTTGCTAATAGCAACTCGCCAGCTAATCCAGGAGGTGAGTTAGCTAGCTAGCTTCGTGCTACATCCGGCACCGCCGAATACAAAAGTAACCTACAATAACTACACAACAGCTACCCACAACAGCCCACGATGCCTACCTATACTACTTAATAATATACAGCCCACGATGCCTACCTATAGTACCTAACTACAATCTAAATACATAGTTTAAGCCTTACTCGACAAAGCCCAAGCTATGTATAAAGCCAAACTGGCAGACTGCAATCAGTAGCCGAAATTAAGTACAGCAGCTACCAACCACCTAACGTTAATGATAATGAGGTTAGAAAAACAGCTGAAGGTGGCAGCTAGCTGGCTCAATTACAGGTACTCTTAAGCGTGAAATAACATTGGAAATAGCTAACCACAGTTGCTAAAAGTTACCGGTAGCTACCCGCTAGCTAGCTAGCTTTGTTGGTCCAAGTAGTGGGTAGGCTAGCCTCGTGCTTCGCCGGAGTCCGCCGAATACAGTCCTTACCTACAATAATTACCTACAATAACCTACAATAACTACCTGAGTAAACTACCTATACTACCTAACTACAATACCTACCTACAATCTAAATACATGGTTTAAGCTTTACTCAACACCATATAAGAAGCCAAGCTTACCTCCTGCTAGAGAAAACACAACCTCTCCCGTCAGCATCCCAGACGGAATTCATCCCAACTTCTTCTTTAAGAGGCTCCTCTGTCCTCCACTCGTTACCTGTATTAATGGCACCTGTTTGAACTTGTTATCAGTATAAAAGACACCTGTCCACAACCTCAAACAGTCACACTCCAAACTCCACTATGGCCAAGACCAAAGATCTGTCAAAGGACACCAGAAACAAAATTGTAGATCTGCACCAGGCTGGGAAGACTGAATCTGCAATAGGTAAGCAGCTTGGTTTGAAGAAATCAACTGTGGGAGCAATTATTAGGAAATGGAAGACATACAAGACCACTGATAATCTCCCTCGATCTGGGGCTCCACGCAAGATCTCACCCCGTGGGGTCAAAATTATCACAAGAACGGTGAGCAAAAATCCCAGAACCACACGGGGAGACCTAGTGAATGACCTGCAGAGAGCTGGGACCAAAGTAACAAAGCCTACCATCAGTAACACACTACGCCACCAGGGACTCAAATCCTGCAGTGCCAGACGTGTCCCCCTGCTTAAGCCAGTACATGTCCAGGCCCGTCTGAAGTTTGCTAGAGTGCATTTGGATGATCCAGAAGAGGATTGGGAGAATGTCATATGGTCAGATGAAACCAAAATAGAACTTTTTGGTAAACTCAACTCGTCGTGTTTGGAGGACAAAGAATGCTGAGTTGCATCCAAAGAACACCATACCTACTGTGAAGCATGGGGGTGGAAACATAATGCTTTGGGGCTGTTTTTCTGCTAAGGGACCAGGACGACTAATCCGTGTAAAGGAAAGAATGATGGGGCCATGTATCGTGAGATTTTGAGTGAAAACCTCCTTCCATCAGCAAGGGCATTGAAGATGAAACGTGGCTGGGTCTTTCAGCATGACAATGATCCCAAACACACCGCCCGGGCAACAAAGGAGTGGCTTCGTAAGAAGCATTTCAAGGTCCTGGAGTGGCCTAGCCAGTCTCCAGATCTCAACCCCGTAGAAAATCTTTGGAGGGAGTTGAAATTCCGTGTTGCCCAGCGACAGCCCCAAAACATCACTGCTCTAGAGGAGATCTGCATGGAGGAATGGGCCAAAATACCAGCAACAGTGTGTGAAAACCTTGTGAAGACTTACAGAAAACGTTTGACCTGTGTCATTTCCAACAAAGGGTATATAACAAAGTATTGAGAAACTTTTGTTATTGACCAAATACTTATTTTCCACCATAATTTGCAAATAAAATCATAAAAAATCCTACAATGTGATTTTCTGCATTTTTTTTCTCATTTTGTCTGTCATAGTTGTCGTGTACCTATGATGAAAATTACAGGCCTCATCTTTTTAAGTGGGAGAACTTGACTAAATACTTTTTTCCCCCACTGTAGTTTAATTTTAGAGTAGAGGCTAGACCAATCATGTACCAAAGACATCTGAAATCTGTTTATATAAAATTTAAAAAAAGGTGCGTAATATGCGGTAGGCTATTAGGCATGGTATTGTTTAATTAATATTTTTAATGTCGGGCATCTCCTATATAGGCCTATGGGTATGCATGAGCTCTAATATGCGTATGACTTTTCTACAGGCAACGTCTTAAATGCTTTGAATTAATCATTACCTTAAAAAGTGCTATCCATTTTGTTGTTTGGCTCTGAAACAAGATCCACAACGACCATGTTTTCCACTCAGTTTGAACCTGTTGAACTTCTTTCTTCAAATTGATCATCACAGTGAGGTAAAAAAAAAATGTCGCCTAACAGTGACTTTTAAAAGCATGATACTGTTTTGATAAGTGTTTGATGTGATTTTCGATTGCTTTTGCATTGATGTCAGAGTGGTTAGAGGGACAATAGAGCCCTGAGTACCAGGCCATTAGGACCTGAAAGTCGTTAGCAAGTTGGGTGCCACCAACGCATGTCCAGAGTGCATAAGAGGAGATTACTGTGACTCAACAGTCACGTGGAATTTGACTGCGGTCATGACGGTAATACGGTCACTGCAACAGCCCTAGCGTTCAGTCAATGTCGTTGTATGTGTTCAGCTCTCACTGAGCGTCTTCTCCTCCACACCTCCACTACAGGATCAGGTGAAGCAGCGAGAGCAGAGCCTGAGGAAGGTGGAGCAGGAGATGGATAGTCTCACCTTCAGGAACCAGCAGCTGGCTAAGAGGGTAGAGCTGCTGCAGGAGGAACTGGCTGCCAACGAAGCCAAGGGCAAGAAGAGCAAGGTACAGACAGACACTGGTCCTCTTGCTCTGTTGGTAAAGTATGGCGTTTGCAACGGCAGGATAGTGGGTTTGATTCCCGGGACCACCCATGCGTAAGAAGTATGCACACATGACTGTAAGTTGCTTTGGATAAAGGTGCCTGCTAAATGGCATATATTAGACCGGGAAGAGGGTGCACCCCACAGTCAGACATGTCATTTGGGATGCAAGGTGATTTGGCCTTTCAGTGATTCTGATCAGTCCGACCGCAATGTAGTCAATCTCAAAGGCACTTTCTCACTACCAGAACAAAGGGGATTCCCCCTCCCAGCAGGGCTTGCAGCAGACCCAGAGTGTGTTTGATGAGGACCTGCAGAAGAAGATCCAGGAGAACGAGAGGCTTCACATCCAGGTGTGTCTCTGAGACATTGGAGTGTATGCATGTATGGACAAGTGTCTACCAATTGACTACTGGCTTTATGATATTGGACTAGTTGTTTTTGTGTGCTGGTCTGTTCATGTCTAAGGATGATGATGAGGATGATGTTTTTATAATTCTTCTAAGGTAATGCCTAAATAAATATTTTCTCCTTGGATGGACACTAAAGTTCTATTCTGTTTTAAGTTCTATGAGGCTGATGAGCAGTACAGGCAGCAGGAGGCTCAGCTGAAGGTCCGGTTGGAGGAGCTGGAGAGAGACCATGAACAACACCAGGCCGTAGTGGATGGACTCACCTCCAAATACATGGACACTATTGAGAGACTGCAGAGTGACAAGGCCACACTAGAGGTGAGAGAGGGGGATGAATGTGAAGGAGGGGGGTGGCTGGAGGGAGGGTAGGAGGGAGGGAGACTAGTGGATCAACAAATACTTGGACACTATTGAGAAACTGCAGAGTGACAGACTAGAGGTGAGGGAGGGAGAGAGACTAGTGGACGGACTCACCAACAAATACATGGACACCATTGGAAAAACTGCAGCGTGACAAGGTCCGACTAGAGGTAAGATGGATGGAGGGAGAGGAATTGAAGTAGGATGAGAGGGGCAAAACTCATGAATTTGTTATTGCTGATGATGAAATAGTAATACATGATGCCATTTGCTGTGTCCTCCTACAGGTGAAATCCCAGACTCTAGAGAGGGAGACTAAAGAGTGCAGAGTTCGGACAGAGGAATGGTAAAAACCTTGTTATTGTATTTCTGTAGTAGAGGACTTAATATGAAGGAATAATGAGGGTTAGAATAATGCAGATGTGGGTTGTTGTGAATGGGGATGTATTTAGTATGGTCAATGAGCGGTCGTTGACTATCCCTCCCCCTCCCTCCTCTCCCCTCCCTCCATCCTCCTCTCTCTCTCTCTCTCTAGTCAGCAGCAGTTGAGGAAGTGTCAGTCAGAGCTCAACAGACAGGTGAAACAGAGCAGCAGTGTCATCCAGGAGAAAGTGCCCTTCAACGACACCAGTGAGTACTAGTTCACTATGCAACATTTCACTGACCCGGATCGTGTTCATTAGGAACCAAGCGGAAGACAACAGACTGAAACAGAGAGGGACTACCTGGATGGGTCCAAAAACAACTGCTCATTTGATGTTTTCTGTTGTAGTGTTCTAATGAACACAACCTTGTAGAACCATCACTGATGATGGATTATCTGATGTCTCCATTCTAAGACAAGACACCCACACATGTACATGTATATGTATATACTACTAATATATTACATATGTTCGTGAATAATTCCATATTACACTTAAAGACATGCTCCGAAACTTTGGCGACTAGTAAGTCTTTTTTTTAAACCTCCCGCTTTGGGCTGTATTTGTCAATGTGTAGTTCATACATGCATAACCTATACTGAACAAAGAATATAAACGCAACAATTTCAACGATTTTACTGAGTTACAGTTCATATAAGGAACTCCATCCATTGAAATAAATTCATTAGGCCCTAATCTATGGATTTCACATGACGGGGCGGGGGCTCAGCCCACTGGGGAGCCAGGCCCAACCAGTCCAATGAGTTTTTTCCCACAAAATGGTTTTATTACAGACAAAAATACTCCTCAGTTTCATCAGCTCTTCGGGTGTCCCACAGGTGAAGAAGCCGGATGTGGAGGTCCTGGGCTGGCGTGGTTACACGCGGTCTGCGATTGTGAGGCCGATTGGAAGTACTGCCAAATTCTGTAAAACGACGTTGGAGGCGGCTTATGGTAGAGAAATGAACATTACATTCTCTGGCAACAGCTCTGGTGGACATTCCTGCAGTCAGCATGCCAATTGCATGCTCCCTCAAAACTTGAGACTTCTGTGGCGTTGTGACAAAACTGCACATTTTACAGTGGCCTTTTATTGTCCCCAGCACAAGGTGCAACTGTTTAATGATCATGCTGTTTAATCAGCTTCTTGATATGCCACACCTGTCAGGTGGATGGATTATCTTGGCAAAGGAGAAATGCTCACTAACAGGGATGTAAACAAATTTGTGCACAACATAGAAATACGCTTTTTGTGCGTATGGACAATTTCTGGGATCTTTTATTTCAGCTCATGAAACATGGGACCAACACTTTACTTTTTGCGTTTATATTTTTGTTCAGTATATGAGCAGAAGTACTACCCTGAAATCTTTCCTTTAAATTTCCCTCCCTTTTTCTCCAGAGTTCAGTGACTACAACAGCCTCAATGTTCCGCCACACAACAGAAGACACCAGGTAGAGGAAGCCCTATAGAATGATCCAGGATTATTGATGTGTATTGTGGAGTTCTTTCCTTGTATTTTATAGAACAGTCCGTGCTCGAGCCTCCATTGTCAGCGTGAATATGTGGTCCAGAGTTTTTGTAGTAATCTCCTCTGTCTCACTCTCCTCTCCTCCAGTTGAAGGCCCGAGACGTGGCTGGTCAGGCCCTAGGCTTCGTCCAGGACCTAGTGGGGGCTCTGTTAAACTTCCACTCCTACACAGAGCAGAGGGTGCACATCTACCCCCTGGATTCCTCTATCGAACCCATCTCACCACTCAACCAGAAGGTGAGGACACACACACACACACAATGTCTCTTCCCCGACATCCTTTAAAGGGACAAACAGCAGTTAGTACATCCATTTCTGGACTTATAAATTAATATATACCCATTGGTTCTTGCTTAGTTTTTACTGTCATACCCCATCATAACCCAAAATAGAAGCTTGTTTTACTCCAATGTTTGTAAACAATGTAAACAAACACTATAGCCTCAAAACATGGTTCAATCTATAATGTTGGTGTCATTGATGGTCAGTCCTTGCATCCATATCTCTGTTAATGAGTCTGAGTTGTTACATTTCTCCAGCCCCTCCCTCAGCTTTTTAGCCAATCAGTGGCGGGGAGAACGCTTTATCGTTTATACTGCTGATTTGCCGCCTTAAACATGTTAAAATGTTTAGTAATTTAGCAGATGTTCTTGTCCATAGTGACTTACAACAAGCACTTTCATCTGAAGTAGTTAAGAACCTCTCCTCTTCTCTCCAGTTCTCCCAGTATCTGCATGAGAATGCAGCCTATGTGCGCCCCCTGGAGGAAGGACTAGTGCAACTATACCAGAGCATCACAGAGGACACAGTAACAGTACTGGAGACTGTGGGGAAACTCAAGGACTTTGCTGATCACTTCACATCCTACACCCACTTTCTGCAGAAGATTCTACCATACCAGCTCAAAAGGTCAGTACTCATTACATTAGGTGTGTGTGGGGGAGCTGTATATATTTGCATCCATCTGGATGGGGGTTTTCCTCCTCATGCTCCTCTATTCTCCCCCCAGTCTAGAGGAAGAGTGCAGGGCTCCTTTGTGTACCTCGTCTCTCACCTCTAAGAACCAGGAGCTGCAGAGTGACATGAAGAGAATCACGTCAGTGTTCGACAAACTACACAGCTACATCATCCTACTGGCCTTACCTAGTGAGTTATATCATCCTACTGGCCGTACCTAGTGAGTTATATCATCCTACTGGCCGTACCTAGTGAGTTATATCATCCTACTGGCCGTACCTAGTGAGTTATATCATCCTACTGGCCGTACCTAGTGAGTTATATCATCCTACTGGCCGTACCTAGTGAGTTATATCATCCTACTGGCCGTACCTAGTGAGTTATATCATCCTACTGGACGTACCTAGTGAGTTATATCATCCTACTGGCCGTACCTAGTGAGTAGTGTCGATCTGGAGGAAAATAATTTGCTGTATCCTGTAATTTGCTGTATCCTGTATTCGTCTTGAATAATTTAAGTGTAATGTATAGCCTTGATAACTAACTTATTTGTCAAACTGTATAGCTACTGTCTGGGGGAATAGAGGAGAGGGAGGATCCTTTCCTAGTGAGTGATGGGGGACTAGAGGAGAGGGAAGATCCTTTCCTAGTGAGTGATGGGGACTAGAGGAGAAGGAGGATCCTTTCCTAGTGAGTGATGGGGACTAGAGGAGAATGAGGATCCTTTCCTAGTGAGTGATGGGGACTAGAGGAGAAGGAGGATCCTTTCCTAGTGAGTGATGGGGACTAGAGGAGAAGGAGGATCCTTTCCTAGTGAGTGATGGGGACTAGAGGAGAAGGAGGATCCTTTCCTAGTGAGTGATGGGGACTAGAGGAGAAGGAGGATCCTTTCCTAGTGAGTGATGGGGACTAGAGGAGAAGGAGGATCCTTTCCTAGTGAGTGATGGGGACTAGAGGAGAAGGAGGATCCTTTCCTAGTGAGTGATGGGGACTAGAGGAGAAGGAGGATCCTTTCCTAGTGAGTGATGGGGACTAGATGAGAAGGAGGATCCTTTCCTAGTGAGTGATGGGGACTAGAGGAGAAGGAGGATCCTTTCCTAGTGAGTGATGGGGACTAGAGGAGAGGGAGGATTCAGAAGGGTTGGGGTGAAGCAGCAGACTCATTTCAGTTTCCCTCTGACAATGGCCAATAAAGTAATGTTCTAGACGAAGCTGGGCCTAGTTGGGGTAATTTCCTCAAGACCCTAATGGGTCTGATATTACATGACCGGTAGCTCCAGTACAGTATATCAGGGTTGAAGTTAGGTATAGACACAGTAGTAATGTTTCCAATTGTTTTCCAGGTGTTCGACAGGACGCCATGCCCCAGAGCAGTTCCTCTGCTGTCTTCACCCAGCTGGCTGCCTGTCTACACAGCCTTCACGACGCCGTCAAAGGTGAAACATTTTTTACTAGGAAATATTATTTATAGTTAGTGTTTTTGTAGACTAATGTTCAAGCCACTCTCTCCTTCCAAATCAAAGTTTATTGGTCGCGTACACAGTTGAGCAGATGTTATAGCAGTTGCAGCGAAATGCTTATGTTACTAGCGCCTAACAATGCAGTAAAATGTCAAACAGGTACACACACAATCCATCAAAAAAACAAGAAAACTGAACAAGAAATGTCTGTTCTTATGTGTTCTGTAGAGATGTCTAAAAGCCGATTTTATGCTTGATCCGGTAATCGTGAGGCTCCGTACGGAGGGTGTGACACAATTGCGGAGCCTCCAGAGGCTTGCGGAGGCCAAATCAAGCTCCGTACTATTGGCATCGCGTAACAATGCATGTTGTAACAATGCGTAGGGCTCCTTATAGCGCCCTACGATTGGTTGACGGTATGTGGGCGCGGTGCTTCCTGTATAAACACAAACTCACTTCCTTGATAACTTCTTTCACAACAGCTGACTTCTGACATATGAATGCGCTGACTTCTGTGGAGGCCGCATCGCACTTCATGCTATATGGCCAATGCAGACGCTGGAATGACCTTAAATGGGCTTTAAGCTTAACCCTTATGAATCAGTATACCTGCAGGGTTCAAGTAAGGTGGAACCGATAACTGTAAGTCCCCTGGCCCTTCCTTTATGTACGTAGAGATGTCTAAACCCCTTCTCTCCTTTTCTTTGTCTGTAGAGATTATTATGTACAGTGCATTCGGAAAGTATTCAGACCCCTTGACTTTTTCCACATTTTGTTACGTTTCAGCCTTATTCCAAAATTTTACAAAAAAAATTAAAAAATCCCTCATCAATCTACACACAATACCCCATAATGACAAAGCATAAACAGATTTTTAGAAATCTTTGCTAATTTATTTAAAATAAAAAACGGAAATATAACATTTACATAAGTATTCAGACCCTACAAGCTTGGCACACCTGTATTTGGGCAGTTTCTCCCATTCTTCTCTGCAGATCCTCTCAAGCTCTGTCAGGTTGGATGGGGAGCGTCGCTGCACAGCTATTTTCAGGTCTTTCCAGAGATGTTCAATCGGGTTCAAGTCCAGGCTCTGGCTGGGCCACTCAAGGACATTCAGAGACTTGTCCCGAAGCCACTCCTGCGTTGTCTTTGCTGTGTGCTTAGGGTCGTTGTCCTGTTGGATGGTGAACCTTCACCCCAGTCTGAGGTCCTGAGCGCTCTGAAGCAGGTTTTCATCAAGGATCTCTCTGTAATTTGCTCCGTTCATCTTTGCCTCAATCCTGACTAGTCTCCCAGTCCCTGCCGCTGAAAAACATTCCACAGCATGATGCTGCCACCACCATGCTTCACCGTAGGGATGGTGCCAGGTTTCCTCCAGACGTGACGCTTGGCATTCAGGCCAAAGAGTTCAATCTTGTTTTCATCAGACCAGAGAATCTTGTTTCTCATGGTCTGAGAGTCTTTAGGTGCCTTTTACTGAGGAGTGGCTTCTGTCTGGCCACTCTACCATAAAGGCCTGATTGGTGGAGTGCTGCAGAGATGGTTGTCCTTCTGGAAGGTTCTCCCATCTCCACAGAGGAACTCTGGAGCGCTGACAGAGTGACCATTGGGTTCTTGGTCACCTCCCTGACCAAGGCCCTTCTCCCCCGATTGCTCAGTTTGGCCGGCCGGCCAGCTCTAGGAAGAGTCTTGGTGGTTCCAAACTTCTTCCATTTAAGAATGATGGAGGCCACTGTGTTCTTGGGGTCCTTCAATGCTGCAGAAATTTTTTGGTACCCTTCCCCAGATCTGTGCCTCAACACAATCCTGTCTCGGAGCACAACAGACAATTCCATCGACCTCACGGCTTGGTTTTTGCTCTGACTTGCACTGTCAGCTGTGGGACCTTATATAGATAGGTGTGTGCCTTTCCAAATCATGTCCAATCAATTGAATTTACCACAAGTGGACGTCAATCAAGTTGTAGAAACATCTCAGGGATGATCAATGGAAACAGGATGCACAGGAGCTATATTTCGAGTCTCATAGCAAAGGGTCTGAATACTTATGAATACCTATGTAAATAAGCTATTTCTGGTCTTTCAATTTTTATAAATTTGTAAACATTTCTAAAAAACCTGTTCGCTTTGTCATTATGGGGTATTGTGTGTAGGTTGCTGAGGATTGTCTTTTTTAAATCCATTTTAGAATAAGCCTGAAACTTAACAAAATGTGGAAGAACTCAAGGGGTCTGAATACTTTCCGAAGGCACTGTATGTATAAGCTAAGTCTCTGTCTCGGTCTCTCTCTCTCTCTATAGAGATGTCTAAGCACTACAGCCGGAAGGCCAGTCTGGAACAACAGTTGCCTACAGTCACTCAGAAGCTCCGCACCACTAACGAGTGTCTGCTGGCTTCCCTGGGCGTGCTCACCAACAGCACCGGCAAGGTAGGACCATGTACCACTATTCAAACACTGGGTTAGACCAGCAAGACACTGGGTGTGCTCACCAACGGTACTGGCAAGTTGATACTTAGCAGATAGACACTGTTATCCAAACCAACTAACAGCACTGCCAACGAGTGTCTGCTGGCATCACTGGTCATCACTAGTTACCACAGCCATGAAGTCATAAACCCCGCCTATTTCTAAAATGTGTCTTCTTAAAATGTGATTTTAAACCTAATCTTAACCACACTGCTAACCTTAACCCAAACCTTAAAGGAATACTTCAGGATTTTGGCGATGAAGCCCTTTGTCTTCTTCTCCAGAGTCAGATGAACTTGTGGAACTTCCATTTTCATGTCTCTGCATGCAGGATTTTGCCTGTGCTTCCCTCCGTTCTATTTCTTTCTTATCCTGAAAAACTCCCCAGTCCTTAACAATTACAAGCATACCCATAACATGAAACAGCCACCACTATGCTTGAAAATATGGAGAGTGGTACTCAGTAATGTATTGGATTTGCCCCACTAATACCACTTTGTATTCAGGACGAAAAGTGAATTGCTTTGCCACATTTTTGGCAGTATTACTTTAGTGCCTTGTTGCAAACAAGATGCATGTTTTTGAATATTTATATTATGTACAGGCTTCCTTCTTTTTCACCAGCTCAATTAGGTTAGGATTGTGGAGTAACTACAATGTTGTTGATCCATCCTCAGTTTTCTCCTATCACAGCCATTGAACTCTGTAACTGTTTTAAATTCACCATTGGCCTCATGTTGACATCCCTGAGCGGTTTCCTTCCTCTCCAGCAATTGAGTTATGAAGGATGCCTGTATCTTTGTAGTGACTGGGTGTATTGATACACCATCCAAAGTGTAATTAATAACTTAATCTGTATGTACAGTGCATTCTGAAAATATTCAGACCCCTTGACTTTTTCCACATTTTGTTACAGCCTTATTCTAAATTGGATAAAATAAAATAAAATCCTCATCAATCTACAAACAATACCCCATAATGACAAAGCGAAAACAGGTTTTTGGAAATGTTTGCAAATGTATTAAAAATAAAAAACATACCATATTCACATTTTTATTTTACCTTTATTTAACTAGGCAAGTCAGTTAAGAACAAATTCTTATTTACAATGACGGCCTACACCGGCCAAACCCGGACGACGCTGGGCCAATTGTGCGCCGCCCTATGGGACTCCCAATCACGGCCGGTTGTAATACAGCGTGGAATCGAACCAGGGGGTCTGTAGTGACGCCTCAAGCCCTGAGATGCAGTGCCTTAGACCGCTGCGCCACTCGGGAGCCCAGACCCTTTGCTATGAGACTCGAAATTGAGCTCAGGTGCATCCGGTTTCCATTGATCATCTTTGAGATGTTTCTACAACTTGATTGGAGTCCACCTGTGGTAAATTCAATTGATTGGACATGATTTGGAAAGGCACACACCTGTCTAAATAAGGTCCCACAGTTGAGAGTGCATGTCAGAGGAAAAACCAAGCCATGAGGTCGAAGGAATTCTCTGTAGAGCTCCGAGACAGGATTGTGTCAAGGCACATATCTGAAGGGTACCAAAACATTTCTGCAGCATTAAAGGTCCCCCAAAACACAGTGGCCTTCATAATTCTTAAATGGAAGAAGTTTGGAACCACCAAGACTCTGCTTAGAGCTGGCCGCCCGGCCAAACTGGGCAATCGGGGGAGAAGGGCCTTGGTCAGGGAGGTGACCAAGAACCTGATGGTCACGGACAGAGCTCCAGAGTTCCTCTGTGGAGATGGGAGAACCTTCCAGAAGGACAACCATCTCTGCAGCACTCCACCAATCAGGCCTTTATGGTAGAGTGGCCAGACGGAAGCCACTCCTCAGTAAAAGGCACACGACAGCCCACTTGGAGTTTGCCAAAAGGCACCTAAAGGACTCTGACCATGAGAAACAAAATTCTCTGGTCTGATGAAACCAAGACTGAACTCTTTGGCCTGAATGCCAAGCGTCACGTCTGGAGGAAACCTGGCACCATCCCTACGGTGAAGCGTGGTGGCAGCATCATGCTGTGGGGATGTTTTTCACCGGCAGGGACTGGGAGACTAGTCAGGATCGAGGGAAAGATGAACAGAGCAATGTACAGAGACCCTTCGGACAGGTAGCGTTCTCCTGGCATCCTCCAAACCCAGATTAGTCCATCAGACTGCCAGATGGTGCAGCTTTACACCACTCCAGCCAATGCTTGGCATTGCGCATGGTGATCTTAGGCTTGTGTGCGGCTGCACGGCCATGGAAACCCATTTCATGAAGCTCCCGACGAACGGTTATTGTGCTGACGTTGCTTCCAGAGCGCTCAGGACCTCAGACTGGGGCGAAGGTTCACCTTCCAACAGGACAACGACCCTAAGCATACTGCCAAGACAACGCAGGAGTGGCTTCGGAACAAGTCTCTGAATGTCCTTGAGTGGCCCAGCCAGAGTCCGGACTTGAACCTGATCGAACATCTCTGGAGAGACCTGAAAATACCTGTGCAGCGACTCTCCCCATCCAACCTGACAGAGCTTGAGAGGAGCTGCAGAGAAGAATGGGAGAAACTCCCCAAATATATAGTTGTGCTAAGCTTGTAGCGTCATAGCCAAGAAGGCTCGAGGCTGTAATCGCTTCAACAAAGAACTGCGTAAAGGGTCTGAACTTTTTTTTATTTAATTTGTTTTAAAAAAATCATTTTTGTTTTTTAAAATCTGTTCTTGCTTTGTTATTATGGGGTATTTGATGAGTAGATTTGAGGGGGGAAAAAACCATTTCATCCATTTTTAGAATAAGGCTGTAACAAAACAAAATGTGGAAAAAGGTGTCTGAATACTTTCTGAATGCTCTGTACATATTACCTCAACTACATTGTACCCCTGCACATTGACTCAGTAACGATACCCCCTGTATATAGCCTCGTTATTGTTGTTCTATTGTGTTACTATTTCATTTTTTTGGCAAAAAAAAAGTACGTACTGTGTGTGTATACAGGTGTATAAAATCGAGCACACCGCCATGCAATCTCCATAGACAAACACTGGCAGTAGAATGGCCTTACTGAAGAGTTCCGTGACTTTCAACGTGGCACCGTAATAGGATGCCACCTTTCCAACAAGTCAGTTAGTAACATTTCTGCCCCGGTCAACTGTTATTGTAAAGTGGAAACGTCTAGGATCAACAACTCTTCAGCCGCGAAGTGGTAGGCCACACAAGCTCACAGAACAGGACTGCCAAGTGCTGTAGTGCGTAAAAATCTTCTGTCCTCTGTTGCAACACTCACTACCGAGTTCCAAACTGCCTCTGGAAGCAACGTCAGCACAATAACTGTTCGTCGGGAGCTTCATGAAATGGGTTTACATGGCCGAGCAGCCGCACACAAGCCTAAGATCACCATGTGCAATGCCAAGCATTGGCTGGACTGGTGTAAAGCTCGCCGCCATTAGACTCTGGAGCAGTGGAAACATGTTCTCTGGAGTGATGAATCAAGGTTCACCATCTGGCAGTATGACTGAGGAATCTGGGTTTGGCGGATGCCAGGAGAACGCTACCTACCCGAATGCATAGTGCCAACTGTAAAGTTTGGTGGAGGAGGAATAATGGTCTGGGAGTGTTTTTCATGGTTCGGGATAGGCCCCTTAGTTCCAGTGATGGGAAATCTTAACGCAACAGCATACAATGACATTCAAGATGATTCTGTGCTTCAAACTTTGTGGCAACAGTTATATATTTTTTGTTGATATATGATCAGTAGAGTTTAAGCAGCATTAGCAACTGCCTGGGTATATGGCTCATCAACTGTGCTTATTGGTCGTTTACAATACATGACCACTGAGAGGGAGGGAGAGCTCAGCTGGGGCAGATGGGAAATGTTCACAGATCCGCACCATATCAGAGTCTTTACAGCTGTGTGCCCCAGATAAAGGGTGGGTTTGGGGGCTTTGAAACAGACAGAACAGTGAGTGTATATACATTAGAAGCATGTGTATGAGAGCCCTGCAGGAATTGAACACGCGACCTTACCAACTGATCCACGCAGAGTCCTTGGAGAGTTAGGTTAACCAACTGATCCACGCAGAGTCCTTGGAGCGTTAGGTTAACCAACTGATCCACGCAGAGTCCTTGGAGCGTTAGGTTAACCAACTGATCCACACAGAGTCCTTGGAGTGTTAGGTTAACCAACTGATCCACACCGAGTCCTTGGAGCGTTAGGTTAACCAACTGATCCACACCGAGTCCTTGGAGCGTTAGGTTAACCAACTGATCCACACAGAGTCCTTGGAGCGTTAGGTTAACCAACTGATCCACACCGAGTCCTTGGAGCGTTAGGTTAACCAACTGATCCACGCAGAGTCCTTGGAGCGTTAGGTTAACCAACTGATCCACGCAGAGTCCTTGGAGCGTTAGGTTAACCAACTGATCCACGCAGAGTTTTGGAGCATTAGGCTAGTAGTTAGTAGTGGTGTATAGTCTCAGAATAATGTGTTGTAGTGTTTAGTAACGAGAGTCCAGGCTAGAGGTTTATGATCAGGAGTGAGAACACTTTAATGGACACATGCGCGCCGCACACACACGGTCAGGACACTTGTAGAGCTGTCGTCATCCTTCACCTGATCTAGCTGTGTGTGTGGAGGCCATCCTCACCAGAGCATTTTATAGATGTCTTTTCTAGGGTCTAAAGTAAACATCCTGTCCTCAGGAGAGGTTTAGAGTGTTCAACAGGGACGTCCACTGCTCACTCAGAGGACTGTTTATTCTGAGGTTAGCAAAAGATTTGGTTCATGTCTTTTACGACTACTGTAATATATTTTACACGTTTCCTGAGGGTAAGTAGAAGAGGTGGATACGCAACCTGTTCTGTTTTGGTATTATAGTTGTAATAGTGAATAGGCCTGTTTTTAGTCTACAGTTGCCTGGCTGGTGAATGCACCAGACACAGACTGTGTTTGAGGTGTTAGTGATGGAATGCTCTGGGCTGGCTGCGGAGTTCCAGACTTCCACGACTGTATTCCAGAGTTCTATAAGAAGGATGTTTACCATGAGGTGATGAGGGCTGGGGTGATCGAAGACTGGCTCAATTAATCTTTCTCAAGGTCCCTCCCCTCAGACAGTCTTCTCCAATGTATTTTGAAAAGGAGGCGAGGAGATAAGTTGGGTGGAGTCGAGGAAAGATTGAGAAAGAAACCGGGACAACAGTGGTAGGAGTGTGTATGAGATCTGTCTGAATTCTGTCAACCCTTCCTTGACTGCACCCACTGATCTCCTTAAAGGAACAGTGATGTAGTTCTGTAGGATAAGTGTGTGTAGGAAAGTTTGACTTGGTGTTATGGGGCTGTTTAAGTCTGTACAGGGAAGTTAAAGTTTGTCATGAATCAGATTTTATAAACTCATTTCACATTCATTTGTTTGTTTTAAGTGCACTGTTTCACCACCATATTTTAGCGTATACAAACTTGATAGATTGTTGCTATTCAAATAGCGGTCTGGACTGCAACATATAGACCTAGAAGACTATGTAAAGGCTCACCAATACTGTTATAACACATTATAAAGGCTTATACATGCTCACAACAAATTATAAAGCATTAGTGCCTATACCTTTATGCTGTAAAGTTTTACCATAATATAAATGCCGTACCTTTTTACTACAGATTGCGACGTTCTTCAGCAACAACCTGGATTTCTTTACGTCTTCGACAGGCTACGGTCCGAGAGGGGGTGCGGGGGCCCTCAACCCCCTGCAGGCAGAGAGCATGCTGGGTAACAAGAAGAAGGCCTCTGACTACATGCACACCATCAGAAAGGTCAGTAGTGTTCCCTCGCTTCGCTGGTCAGGTCACAGTCACAGGCCTGGGTTCAAATACTATTCCAAAATAATTTACTTCAGCGGTGTTTGATTAAGCATGCCTGGCGAAATAGGAAGTGGGAACCAATATAATAGTCCCAAAAGTATAAAGCCCGCCCATCTGACATTCCAGGCAGGCTAAAGCAAACAGTGGAACATCCACTTAACACTGATGTTGTGGTTCAGAATAACAGTGTGTATTTGACTGTCCTGTCTGTGTATCCAGCCCAGACCTGAGTCGGTTCCATACAGAGAGGCCCTGTTGAACCGCCGTGTTCTAACCAGCTCTACAGAAAGCAGACAGGGACTCACACAACAGGTATTGATTGTATTTCCATGTTCCTCTCTTCCCTTCTACTCTCCAGTCTGTCAGGACACAGGCCCTAAGTCTAACTCTTTTTATTATTCTCAAGGTAACCCATTTTGTTACTGACTAGATAAGTGTTATAGAGAAGAAGTGTAGAAGTCCTCTTATCCCTCTCTCTCCTCCCCTTTACACCTTTCTCCCCCATGTACACCTCTCCCTCCTCCCCTTTACACCTCTCTCCTCCCCTTTACACCTCTCTCTCCTCCCCTCTCTCTCCTCCCCTTTACACCTCTCGCTCCTCCCCTCTCGCTCTTCCCCTTTACACCTCTCTCCTCCCTTTTACCCCTCTCTCCTCCCCTTTACCCCTCTCGCTCCTCCCCTCTCGCTCCTCCCCTTTACACCTCTCTCCTCCCTTTACACCTCTCTCTCCTCCCTTTTACCCCTCTCTCTCCTCCCCTCTCGCCCCTCCCCTTTACATCTCTCTCCTCCCCTTTACACCTCTCGCTCCTCCCCTCTCCCTCCTCCCCTTTACACCTTTCTCCTCCCCCCCTTTACTCCTCTCTCCTCCCCCCCTTTACACCTCTCTCCTCCCCTCTCTCTCCTCCCCTTTACCCCTTTCTCTCCTCCCCTTTACCCCTCTCTCTCCTCCCCTTTACACCTCTTCTTTCCTCACTGTGTCCTCTCTTCCACTTCTCCATTTGCCTGGGTGTCTGTACCTCTATCACCCCAGGTGGTGGCGAGCCAGGAGAAGATCGCTCGTCTGGAGCAGGAGAAGGAGCACTGGCTGCTGGAGGCCCAGCTGGGCAGGGTGAGGCTGGAGAAGGAGAGCCAACGAATCCAGGACCTGGAGACACAGCTCTCCTCTGCCCTGGGAGGAGGAGGCAGCCCGGCCTCAGCCCTCTCCCTGGGTCCGGGCAGCCCAGCCCTTACCAGCCTGGATGACGGAGAGCTGGAGGAGAGAGGAGTAGGGAAGGAGGCTATTCTAAGCACCGGTCTGGTAGTTACAATCTTCACTCGTTTGTTTTTCTTTAGGGTTGCAAGAATCCTCCAACGGGGATTTCAGAAAAACTGGTAACTTTGCGGAATTTTGCAACCTTATTTTTCTTCAATAGTGATTTCATTAGGCTTCATCCTCATGTTTCACTACTTTGCAGTTGTCAGCTGAGAATGGCATGATGTGAGATGAAATCTAGGTCATTCCTCCCTTTACAACCCTCCCCTTTCCCACCAAATGAGTCAGACAAATCATTGCGGGAGCAGCCATAAAATAGGTTTTAGTGTTTTGGCTTCAGTGAAGGCAGTTGTATTATCAGTCTCTTGCTCCGTCCCAATCATCTCTCCTTTCCCCCAAGTGTGCACTTGTTCACTATCCTTCACTGATTTGAAAATTAATTATGGGTATATGAAATGTGTTGGAAACTCCCTCTAGCCCATGCCTCCACCAATCCAATGCTTTTAGATTTTTGGGAAGTAGTGAACTAGTGTACACTTAAGGAGAAAATATATATTATTGGGACACACCCTCTCTTTGCACCAGCTTCTTTGTTTTAACATGCCTGTGTTTTAATAGTGTACTCATTTGAAGGTCCAGGACATACCCACTTAACCTGGTCCAAGATCCAGTGGTGGAAAAAGTACCCAATTGTCGTACTTGAGTAAAAGTAAAGATACCTTAATAGAAAAATACTAAAGTGAAAGTCACCCAGAAAAATACTACTTGAGTAAAAGTATTTGGTTTTAAATATACTTAAGTATCAAAAGTATAAATCATTTCAAATTCCTTATATTAAGCAAACCAGACAGCACAATTTTCTTGTTTTTAATATGTATGGAAAGCCAGGGGCACACTCCAACACTTAGATATCATTTACAAACAAAGCATTTGTGTTTAGTGAGTCCGGCAGATCAGAGTCAGTAGGGATGACCAGGGATGTTCTCTTGATAAGTGTGTGAATTGGACCATTTTCTTGTCCAAATGTAACAAGTACTTTTGGGTGTCAGGGAAAATGTATGGAGTAAAAAGTATATTATTTTCTTTAGGAATGTAGTGAAGTAAAAGTTGTTATTCCGTTCCGATCCTGTTTCGTCAGTAAACATTAGGGTCCTGTAGTGTTTTTGATAGGATTTCAGTGGGAGAGGAATGGGTTTTATTGGCCTGGGCCCAGATCTGTTTGTGCTGCATCGCCAGCAATGACCGTAGAAGTTGTCAAAATGGCACAAACAGATCTGGGACCAGGCTTACATTTTATAGCTTTCTCATAGGGAGTTAGTAACTAATGTGTTTCTGTGTTTTGCATCTCTTGCATTAGGTTGGCATGTTGACCACAACTCCTACCAACGAGGAAGTAAGTTTGTCTTGTTATTCTTGACCCAACTGTTCTTTCAAGTCTGTTACTTTTTCCCTCTTTCACGGGGCTAGTCTCATTGCTTTCCTGAAAAGATGGACTAATGAACTCGTTAATGAACAGATTATCATACTTTGGAAAATTACACTGACTACTTGAATGAGTGATTTGAATAAATGCTTGAATGAGTACTATGTAGTAACATGTTAATACAACCTTGTTATACTAGTGTAATTACAACACAGGTATAAGAGCCACTTCATGTAAAGTTGTCATTTGTCTCTGTGTGTGTACAGGTGGGAGACGAGGAGTCCAGAGAACAACTGATAAAGACCCACTACATGGCCAGAGTAGGAGAACTCAGCACACATCTACAGGCCTCAGACAGCAAGGCTGTTAACTTCCACGCTGAGGTGAGACATGACACACACACACAAACTCACAAGCACACACTTTTAAGGATATGTAGCTCTTATTTTGTCGGTGGATACTGGGGAGATATAAGGGGAACAAAGTTACACATAGTCAAGGTCCATTTAGATGCTGATCTACAGAAGACCAACTTACTAGTTGAACCAGTCACTAAACCATTTCCTGTCTTCCTTCCTTTAATACATACATGTGCACTTTGACTCCAAGTATATTTTTGTAAAAATAGGCTGTGTACCTGCGCCAAAACTATGGTATTTTGCATCCTATAGCTTGTTCTCCATCTTTTTAAATAGTGAGCCAAAATGTTTTCAGCACTTATTTCCATGACTGATCAAAACACTCTCTTGTCCCTCTGCAGCAGACATATGGTGAGCAATATGTTTGGAACATTGAATCGCAATAAAATCACAGTATCGAATCTCAATACATATAGAATCGTGAGAATCACAATTCATATAGAATCGGCACCTAAGTATAGTGATAATGTCTTATCGTGAGGTCCCTGATTATTCCCAGCCCTACATGATATACAGTGTACAAAACATTAAGAACACCTGCTCTTTCCATGACAGACTGACCAGGTGAAAGCTATGATCCCTTATTGATGTCAGGTGTTAAATCCACTTCAATCAGTGTAGATGAAGGGGAGGAGACAGGTTAAAGGAGGATTTTTAAACCTTGAGACAATTGAGACATGGATTGTGTATGTGTGTTTTAGAGGGTTAATGGGCAAGACTAAAGATTGAAGTGCCTTTGAACAGGGTATGGTAGTAGGTGCCAGGCGCACCGGTTTGTGTCAAGAACTGCAACGTTTCTGGGTTTTTCACGCTCAACAGTTTCCCGTGTTTATCAAGAATGGTCCACCACCCAAAGGACAGAGTGTCTGACAGATAGGGAACTGGAAGCAATAACTTAGACGCTGGCATAGGAAGTGTTTCTAACAAAGTGTATTTAATGTAGCAGAGTCATTCCAGTTAAAACTCAGACATCATGTAAGCCTATATCTAGTTTTAGTGAAGAGCATCCCATTTAGTGACTTCATTAATTGAAGGAAGTGATCATCTGTGGATATGTTTATTCTCAGTATCTCCTGTGTTGTAACCCCCCCCAGTGTCGAGCCCTGGCCAAGCGTCTGGCTATTGCAGAGAAGTCACGGGAGACCCTGACAGAGGAGGTGAAATTGGCCAATCAGAACATCACCAGTCTGCAGGTAAACAACAACAGGTTGTGTAATTCCCAGACTGAAAGAAAGAAGCATGTCCCAGATCCATCCACTCACAGACACAATACAATCAGCTTTATCATTACATAGCTAGTCGTTGTGTTTGTTATGCATATTTGTCCTCAACTTTTTTGCTGTTTTTATGTAAGATTTCCCATGTATTCAATGAAATGCCATTTAGCTGAATGAATGAATGAATGAATGAATGAATGAATGAATTAAATGCCATTTAGCAGATGCTTTTATCCAAAGTGACTTAGTCATGCGCTCATACATTTTAAGTATGGGTGGCCCGGGAATCGAACCCTGGCATTGCAAGAGCCATGCTCCAACTGAGACATGGCAAATGAACTTGAACCTTGAACAATCATACTGGCTCTAACTAACCACAACCTGCTCCTTGTCTTTCAGGATGAGCTTGCTACGACCAAGAGGAGTTACAAGGAACAACTCAGTATGATGAGCGACCACCTGTGCAGCATGAACGAGACCCTCAGCAAACAGAGAGAGGAGATTGACATACTCAAACTGGGCAGCAAGGTACTCTCATTGAGACGAACCTAGATAAATTTAAGGTTAAATTTGCCACTCACTGGCCCAGACAGCCAGAGAAGCAGTACTAGGTCAGGTTATGCTGACATGCTTATGTAGACATATCCCAGTAAAAAACTACTATCCATTCTGAGGGGAACAGGTAGGGGGGGGGGGGGGGGGGGTATAGAAGGGTCTGAGGGGAACAGGGAGGTGGGGGAGGTATAGCAGGGTCTGAGGGGAACAGGGAGGCTGGGGTTGGGGGGGTATAGCAGGGTCTGAGGGGAACAGGGAGGTGGGGGATGGGGGGTATAGCAGGGTCTGAGGGGAACAGGGAGGTGGGGGATGGGGGGGTATAGCAGGGTCTGAGGGGAACAGGGAGGTGGGGGATGGGGGGGTATAGCAGGGTCTGAGGGGAACAGGGAGGTGGGGGGGGGGGTATAGCAGGGTCTGAGGGGAACAGGGAGGTGGGGGATGGGGGGGTATAGCAGGGTCTGAGAGGAACAGGGAGGTGGGGGGGGGGGGTATAGCAGGGTCTGAGGGGAACAGGGAGGCTGGGGGTTGGGGGGGTATAGCAGGGTCTGAGGGGAACAGGGAGGTGGGGGGGGGGGGGGGTATAGCAGGGTCTGAGGGGAACAGGGAGGCTGGGGGTTGGGGGGGTATAGCAGGGTCTGAGGGGAACAGGGAGGTGGGGGGGGGGGTATAGCAGGGTCTGAGGGGAACAGGGAGGCTGGGGTTGGGGGGGTATAGCAGGGTCTGAGGGGAACAGGGAGGTGGGGGATAGGGGGGGGTATAGCAGGGTCTGAGGGGAACAGGGAGGTGGGGGATAGGGGGGGGGGGTACAGCATACACACCTCCTCTCCTGAAACTGCCCAACACACTCATCTGTCTTTTAACAGAAGTGTATCTTAAAGGGATACTTCTGGATTTTAGCAAAGAGGCCCTTATCTACATCCCCAGAGTGAGATGACCTCGTGGACACCATTTTTAAGTCTCTCTATGCATTTTACATTTTACATTTTTAGTCATTTAGCAGACGCTCTTATCCAGAGCGACTTACATGAGCAATTAGGGTTAAGTGCCTTGCTCAAGGGCACATCGACAGATTTTTCACCTAGTCGGCTTGGGGATTAGAACCAGCGACCTTTCGGTTACTGGCACAACGCTCTTAACCACTAAGCTACCTGCCGCCCCATGCAGTTTGAAGGAAGTTGCTAACTAGCGCTAGCGCAATTCCTAACAATGACTGGAAGTCTATGGGTATCTGCTAGCATGCTAGTGTGTGGATGGTTATTCCCACACTAACATGCTAGCAGATACCCATAAATCCACTTCAATAAGTATAGATGAAGGGAAGGAGACAGGTTAAAGAAGGATTTTTTAAGCCTTGAGACAATTGAGACATGGATTGTGTATGTGTGCCATTCAGAGGGTGAATTGGCAAGATAAAATATTTAAGTGCCTTTGAAAGCGTTATGGTAGTAGGTGCCAGGCAAACCGGTTTGAGTGTGTCAAGAACTGCAATACTGCTTGGTTTTTCACGCTCCACAGTTTCCTGTGTGTATCAAGAATGGTCCACCACCCAAAGGACATCCAGCCAACTTGACAACTGTGGGAAGCATTGGAGTCAACATGGGCCAGCTTTCGACACCTTGTAGTCCATGCCCTGACGAATTGAGGCTGTTCTGAGGGCAAAAGAAAATAGCTTCAAGTGTTTTGTCCAAATACTGGTGGATTCAACTAATAAAAGAATGGACGACCTGACCAGAGAGGTCCAGGCCCTGAAGAACAGTTTGCAGTTCTCCCAGGGTCAGCTTGATGAGTTTAAACAGGAGAACAGCAAGATGACAGCAATCTGTAAGTCATTGAGAGGGGACATCAGTTCTGTATGTGAATCCATGATAACAATGATGGAGAAATCTCAAAGGACAATCAAGGCGAAAATGAGCCTTGGCGTGACCCTGGACAACACCCTGTCGTTCTCCGCTAACATCAAGGCGGTGACCCGATCCTGTAGGTTCATGCTCTACAACATTCGGAGAGTACGACCCTGCCTTACACAGGAAGCGGCACAGGTCCAAATCCAGGCACTTGTCATCTCCCGTCTGGATTACTGCAACTCGCTGTTGGCTGGGCTCCCTGCCTGTGCCATTAAACCTCTACAACTCATCCAGAATGCCGCAGCCCGTCTGGTGTTCAACCTTCCCAAGTTCTCTCACGTCACCCCGCTCCTCCGCACACTCCACTGGCTTCCAGTTGAAGCTCGCATCTGCTACAAGACCATGGTGCTTGCCTACGGAGCTGTGAGGGGAACGGCACCTCCGTACCTTCAGGCTCTGATCAGTCCCTACACCCAAACGAGGGCATTGCGTTCATCCACCTCTGGCCTGATGGCTCCCCTACCTCTGCTGAAGCACAGTTCCCGCTCAGCCCAGTCAAAACTGTTCGCTGCTCTGGCACCCCAATGGTGGAACAAGCTCCCTCACGACGCCAGGACAGCGGAGTCACTCACCACCTTCCGGAGACATTTGAAACCCCACCTCTTTAAGGAACACCTGGGATAGGATAAAGTAACCCCCCCTTACCCCACCCCACCCCCCCCCCAAAAAAATGTTTTTTAAAGTGGTTATCCCACTGGCTATAAGGTGAATGCACCAATTTGTAAGTCGCTCTGGATAAGAGTGTCTGCTAAATGACGTAAATGTAAATACATGGTTGTGGATGGAATTTGAGGACAAAGTGAGGGATATTATTTCTGGGCGGCAGGTAGCTTAGTGGGTAAGAGCGTTGTGCCAGTAACTGAAAGGTCGCTGGTTCTAATCCCTGAGCCGACTAGGTGAAAAATCTGTCGATGTGCCCTTAAGCAAGGCACTTAACCCTAATTGCTCCTGTAAGTCGCTCTGGATAAGAGCGTCTGCTAAATTACTAAAATAAAAATAAATAAAAAGATGGACCACAGGAAGATTGAGGTGGACTGGAAAACCCACCACCTCCCCAGGTGACAGGCCCGATAGTGGTCAAGTTCCTGAGGTTCAAGGACAAGGTAGCTGTTCTGGAAAGAGCCAAGAACTTGAGAGGACTGTATATCTTCTAAAGTTGTGCGCCAGAAGAGGAAAGAACTTATCCCAGCTATGAAAGCTGCCAGAGCGCGTAGGGACATTGCTTACATCGCTATGACAGGCTCATTGTCCACCCTCCCTCCCAGAAGCCGGGAAGGGATGAGAGAGCCAAGCCTATGGGTTCACACACACACACTCATTGATTAATGGACTGCTGAATGTATATATTTTCTCTTGCTTTGTTTGCTCTTTTCCATATTATGTCTATCTCTGGTAAGCTACCCAGGAAAGGGCTGAAAATAGCCCATATTAATATATGTAGCCTTAGAAACAAGGTTCATGAAATCAATAACTTGATAACATTCATATATGAGCCATTTCTGAGACTCACTTAGATAATTAATTTGATGATACAGCAGTAGCAATAAAAGGATATAACATCTATAGAAGAGACAGGAATGCTTATGGGGGAGGTGTTGCTGTATATATTCAGAGCCATATCCCTGTAATGCTTAGAGAAGTGTTATTTAAGTGTTGTAGTTGCAGATTCACTTGGCACATCTAAAGCCTTTTCTTTTGGGGTGTTGCTCTAGGCCACCAAGTGCTAACAGTCATTATCTAAATAATATGTGTGAAATGCTTGATAGTGTATGTGATGTAAACAGAGAGGTCTTCTTTCTTGGGGACCTGAATATTGACTGGTTTTCATCAAGCTGTCCGCTCAAGAGGAAGCTTCTCACTAACCAATGCCTGTAATCTGGTTCAGGTTATTAATCAACCTTCCAGGGTGTTTGCAAACACTACAGGAACAAGATCATCCACGTATCAATTTAAATGTTTAATAGAACTCAAAGGGTTTTCTTTAATGGAAGCTTCTCTAATGTCAAACATGTAAAGTGTGGTGTACCGCAGGGCAGGATGTACCCGGGATCGAACCCGGATCTGTAGTGACGCCTCAAGCACTGCTATGCAGTACCTTAGATCGCTGCACCACTTGGGAGGCCCCCCGCTGAAACCCTTAACAAAGAGTTGCAGTCTGTTTTGGAATGGGAGGCCAGTAATAAACTGGTCCTGAACATCTCTAAAACTAAGAGCATTGTATTTGGTACAAATCATTCCCTAAGTTCTAGACCTCAGCTGAATCTGGTAATGAATGGTGTGGCTATTGAACAAGTTGAGGAGACTAAATTACTTGGCGTTACCTTAGATTGTAAACTTTCATGGTCAAAACATATAGATTTAAATGGTTGTAAAGATGGGGTGAGGTCTGCTGTAATAAAGAGATGCTCTGCTTTTTTGACACCACACTCCAAAAAGCAAGTCCTGCAGGCTCTAGTTTGATCATATCTTGATTCAGTCCAGTCGTGTGGTCGAGTGCTGCAAGGAAAGACCTAGTTAAGCTGCAGCTGGCCCAGAACAGAGTGGCACGTCTTGCTCTTCATTGTAATCAGAGGGCTAATATTAATACAATGCATGCCAGTCTCTCTTGGTTAAGAGTTGAGGAGAGACTGACTGCATCACTTCTTCTTTTTATACGAAACATTGTGTTGTAAATCCCAAATTGTTTGCATTGTCAACTTACACACAGCTCTGACACACACACTTACCCCACCAGACATGCCACCAGTGGTCTTTTCACAGTCCCCAAATCCAGAACCAATTCAAGAAAGCGTACAGTATTACAGTGCATTCAGAAAGTATTCAGACCCCTTGACTTTTTCCACATTTTGTTATGTTACAGCCTTATTCTAAAATGGATTAAATCGTTTTTTCCACCAAATCAATCTACACACAATACCCCATAATGACAAAGCAAAAACTTGTTTTTAGAAATGTTTGCAAAAAAATAACTATTACATTTACATAAGTATTCAGACCTTTTACTCAGTACTTTGTTGAAGCACCTTTTGGCAGCGATTACAGCCTCAAGCTTGGCACACCTGTATTTGGGGAGTTTCTCAAATTCTTCTCTGCAGATCCTCTCAAGCTCTGTCAGGTTGGATGGGGAGCTTCACTGCACAGCTGTTTTCAGGTCTCTCCAGAGAAGTTCGATCGGGTTCAAGTCCAGGCTCTGGCTGGGCCACTCAAGGACATTCAGAGACTTGTCCCGAAGCCACTCCTGCATTGTCTTGGCTGTGTGCTTAGGGTCGTTGTCCTGTTGGAAGGTGAACCTTCGCCCCAGTCTGAGGTCCTGAGTGCTCTGGGGCAGGTTTTCATCAAGGATCTCTCTGTACTTTGCTCCGTTCATCTTTCCCTCGATCCTGACTAGTCTCCCAGTCCCTGCCGCTGAAATACATCCCCACAGCATGATGCTGCCACCACCATGCTTCACCGTAGGGATGGTGCCAGGTTTTCCTCCAGATGTGACGCTTAGCGTTAAGGCCAAAGAGTTCAATCTTGGTTTCATCAGACCAGAGAATCTTGTTTCTCATGGTCTGAGTCCTTTAGGTGCCTTTTGGCAAACTCCAAGCGGGCTGTGGTGTGCCTTTTACTGAGGAGTGGCTTCCGTCTGGCCACTCTACCATAAAGACCTGATTGGTGGAGTGCTGCAGAGATCGTTGTCCTTCTGGATGGTTCTCCCATCTCCACAGAGGAACTCTAGAGCTCTGTCAGAGTGACCATGGGGTTCTTGGTCACCTCCCTGTCCAAGGCCCTTCTCCCTCGATTGCTCAGTTTGGCCGGGCAGCCAGCTCTAGGAAGAGTCTTGGTGGTTCCAAACTTCTTCCATTTAAGAGTGATGGAGGCCAATGTGTTCTTGGGGACCTTCAATGCTACAGAAATGTGTTGGTACTCTTCCCCAGATCTGTGCCTCGACACAATCCTGTCTCGGAGCTCTACAGACAATTCTTTCGACCTCATGGAATGGTTTTTGTTCTGACATGAACTGTCAACTGTGGGACCTTATATAGACAGGTGTGTGCCTTTACAAATCATATCCAATCAATTGAATTGACCACAGGTGGACTCCAAGTTGTAGTTACAGCTCCAGGATGATCAATGGAAACAGGATGCACCTGAGTCTCATAGCAAAGGGGCTGAATACTTATGTAAAGAAGGTATTTCTGTTTTCTATTTGTTATAAATTTGCAAAACTTGTTTGTGTGTAGATTCAATTTTAGAATAAGGCTGTAATGTAACAGAATGTGGAAAAAGGGAAGGGTTCTGAATACTTTCCGAATGCACTGTATATAGAGCCATTAATGCATGGAACTCCATTACATCTCATATTGCTCAAATGAACAACAAACCTGGTTTGAAAAAGCGTCACCTCTCCCCTATTTGACCTAGATAGTTTGTATGTATTGATATTTAGGCTACGTGTGCCTTAAAACAATAATTGTGTTGTTCTGTCCTTGAGCTGTTGTCTATTAATGTTCTGTATTATTTCATGTTTTGTGTGGACCCCAGGAAGAGTAGCTGCTGCTTCAGCAAAAGCTAATGGGGATCCTAATAAAATACCAACTCAATAGTAGGAAGGTGTTCCTAATGTTTTGTACTCTGTGTTTTACTTAACCCCATTCTTCCTCTTGCCTTTTCCAGGGAAACTCCAAACTCCTAAAGAAGGGTCGGTAGGAAAGTGTCCTTTGGGAAGATGGCGCCATTTTGGATCAGCAGAGCACCCTGGACTGAGGGAAGAGCTGGACTATGGAACCACCCACCCACTACAGCCCTGCCAGCTCCACACCACCATACCACCCCAGGATGGAAGACCCTGTTAGACTTCTCCATCAGAGGGAGGCTATTGGGGGGGGTGTCTCTCTGATACCACTCTGCTTAAAGGAATTGTGTTTCTGATTGACACAGATAATGACTTTATGTGTAAAGTGCTTCCCAGCGTGTGATGGAAGCAGCTGCTTGACCCTTTGAACTTTGGTTTGTGGGAGGAAGTGGAAAAATATAAAGGAAAGATGTATATATTTTTCCTCCCACCCACCAACTAGTGAGGTCATGGATGCTGACTAGTCATGGAATGAAGACCACCAGGCTCTGATGGTTAGTGTCTGTCTTCTCTCTGTGTGCTAATCGTGGGAATGACAGAGATAAATATTAATTAATCAAATTGCTCTTAAGTGGGAGGAGGAGATCATATTAGCAAGTGGAGAAAAAAAGTGTTAAATTCTGTGTGTGCCTGCTGGCTGTCTGGGTTGTTTTCCTTGTCTGTCTTATAGTGGGACTGTTGACTGTCGTGCCAGGCTTTGAGAGGGACTGCTAATTATTATATCTTCATTTTATATTTGGACTGTTTTTAGATTCAATGAAATAATATTTGTGCAAATGTTGTGACTTGTGAGGGACTATGTTCATTATATTTACCACATTCTGTTTGAAGAAGGGCTGCCCCAGATGAAATGAAGGAATGAGTGACACATGAATTAGACACAGTAGCCTTGGTCGCCTAGGCTTCGCTCTTTAGTGGAGGCCTAAGACAGAGGCTATACACACACTTGCATACATTCCCTTAAAGCTGGAATCCTTAATGGTGAATCAGCCACATCCGTTTGCGATATTACAACAAAAAAGAAGGTATGAAAAACAACAATCCCCCCCCCCCCTCAGAAATCATTGCACGCACAATAGTACAGCAGAATATGTACTGCACTTTTTTTACGACACTCCTCACCTCCACTTCGTTAACAAAATATGAACTGCCGTGGGGCGGACAGTAGCGGTGTTTCCCCTACTGCGAATTCCATCTTTATCTAGACATCCCATCTGTCCTCTAGAACGGATGGAGGGTTCTGACAGAATGACATGGAATAGATCTGACCTGATTCCCCCAATCAATTCTAACATGACATATCTGTTCGACACGGTACATTTATATTTAAACTAAATGATCTGTAACGTTGCACAAGGTAGAGTTCAGAGTTCATAAAATGGTGTCTGTCTGTCTGTGATGTTTCTCTAGTAGTTGTATCACCAAAGTCTGTATGGATGTGCACTGAGGAGAACTATGGTTGTCTCAAATGGCACCCTATTCCCTATATAGTGCACTACTTTTGACCAGGGCCCACTTTTGAACATAGCCCTATGGGCCCTGGTCAAACGTAGTGCACTATGTAGGGAATAATGTGGTGCCATTTGGGACACAGCATGTGTAGCACCACGGTCTTCAAACCCATGTATCATGTATGGATAAAAGGGTTCATGTGAATATAATACGTTATTGTACTGTGTACTTTTCAACAGAAATATACAAAACAACAAAGGCATTCATTCTAAGGTTTCACATAACTATTTCCCATGACGACCCAATGAAATGACTAGTCGATCAATGAAAAAGAGCAGGAACACATCAAGCTAATCACTCACTCACCTGCATTTAGTATTTGATTATTGGGTCCCAGAGATAACTGAAAATATTTGCCTATTGGAAGGCAATACACACGCAGAAAGGTCTGCTCTTTTGGAACTCCAGTAAGACTATAACGGTTTGTGTCCCCATTCCAATTGTGTTATCGGCGTGCTAGCAGAGCTACGGTAGTCTACCCCTTGACCCCTTGTCTGGCAGTGTAGTGACTTCTCTAACAAACAGTTCACAATTAACAGCAGGGTTGTGTTCATTAGGGCACACCGTAGCTAAACTTTTAGCAATGGAAAATGAAAGTCCAGTTAGTACGTTGCTGTTTCACCCAGTTTTGGAACATTGTCTTCCATTTTGTATCTCCTGAAAACAACCCTGGACTCTTAATGCTTGTGTGTTCTAGTGACATTTATAGTGTGGCCATTTAAAAGGATAAATCTTATCCTGTGCATCGTTTTTACCAGTTTAGACTGATTTTAATCGGTTTGGACTAGTGTCTGACCGGTACTAACCACTTCATTTCAGCCACCAAGTGGACCTTTTATATGATGAGAATTCCAGGTGTTTGTCAACATGCCCTATACTACTGAAACCTGTATCTTCACAATGTAATCTGACAGTCCAACAGAATGTCCATATGAATGCATATGTGAAAGAAATGAGCTAGCTCAATATTCTTTGTTTTGTGTTAATACTACTAGTAATGGCGCACCACAAATTCAAACTTCAGACTTCTTCAGTATATAGTTTTGACAGGCTACTGATTTATGAAGGTAACTTCCAATGTTATAAGGCAAAATGTTCCCAATCCCAAAGAATTCTACTAATGCTAGCAGCCAGAATCAAACACTCTTTCACTCACACACAAGCACCCATTTACTCAACGATAAAGTTCCAGAATGATCCAGGCTTCTGTTGCCAGCTGTACAGGTTCTTCTTCAGCAGAGATAAACTGTAACCCCGATCACGTTCAGTGTAGTCAGTCTGCCCTTGGCCTGCTCTGCTGTGACTGTTCTCATCCAAATAATCCTGCTCTCTGTCCTCTTTCTCTGTGACTGAATGTTGTCATCCAAGCACACTCCCCTTTCTCACTCTCTTTATCTGTCTCTGTTTGCTTTGTGTTAGTTTTGGGTCCCAAGTGGCTCAATAACCTCCAAACATGTCTTTTTAGGCTGTAGGTTGGCCTTAACCCCATAGCCATCCTCTCTGTGAAAGGTGCTATGTTGGCCTCTGTTTAATTCAACTCAAAGAGCTTTATTGGCATGGGAAATTGCAAGTGAAATCGATAAAAGTGAAATAAACAATCAGAAATTAACAGTAAACATTACACTCACAAAAGTAACAATATTTTATGGGACAGACTGGAGGCAAACCACTTCAGTCTCTGTTGTTTTATATCTGGTTTAATACTGAGGAGTGACTTCCGTCTGGCCACTCTACCATAAAGGCCTGATTGGTGGAGTGCTGCAGTGATGGTTGTCCTTCTGGAAGGTTCTCCCATCGGATTCTTGGTCACCTCCCTGACCATGGCCCTTCTCCCCCGCTTGCTCAGTTAGGCCGGGCGGCCAGCTCTAGGAAGAGTCTTGGTGGTTCCAAACTTCTTCCATTTAAGAATGATGGAGGCCACTGTGTTCTTGGGGACCTTCAATTTTTTGGTATCCTTCCCCTAATCTGTGCCTCGACACAATCCTGTCTTGGAGCTCTATGGACAATTCCTTTGACCTCATGGCTTTGTTTTTGCTCTGACATGCACTGTCAACTGTGGGACCTTATATAGACAGGTGTGTGCCTTTCCAAATCATGTCCAATCAATTGAATTTACCACAGGTGGGCTCCAAGTTGTAGAAACATCTCAAGGGAGAACATGATGCACCTGAGGTCAAATTCGAGTCTCATACCAAAGGGTCTGAATACTTATGTAAATAAGGTATTTCAGTTTTTATTATTAATACATTTGCAAAAATGTCTAAAAACCAGTTTTTGCTTTGTCATGATGGGGTATTGTGTAGATTGATGAGGAAAACAATTAATTTAATATGTTTTAGAATAAGGCTGTAACGTAACAAAATATGGAAAAAGGGACGGGGTCTGAATACTTTCCGAATGCACTGTAACTCCCTAGGTGTTGAATGTTTATCCTTTTAAGATTGGAAAAGAGACCCTTAAATCAAATCAAATTGTATTTGTCACATGCACCGAATACAACACCTTACCGTGAAATGCTTACTTACAAGCCCTTAACCAACAATGCAGTTTTAAGAAAAATAAGAGTTAAGAAAAATATTTACTAAATAAACTAAAGTAAAAAATAAAAGAGCAACAATAAAATAACAATAACGAGGCTATATACAGGGGTACCAAGTCAATGTGCGGGGGTACAGGTTAGTCGAGGTAATTGAGGTAATATGTACATGTAGGTAAGGGTAACTCCCGAGTGGCGCAGTGGTCTAAGGCACTGCATCGCAGTGCTAGCTGTGCCACTAGAGATCCTGGTGACCGGGAGACCCATGTGGCGGCGCACAATTGGCCCAGCGTCGTCCAGGGTAGGGAATGGCCGGCAGGGATGTTGGTAGAGCATGGCGTTTGCAACGCCAGGGTTGTGGGTTCGATTCCCGCGGGGGGCCAGTATGAAATTTAAAATATGTATGCACTCACTAACTGTAAGTCGCTCTAGATAAGAGCGTCTGCTAAATGACTAAAATGTAAATGTAAATGTAGGGGTAAAGTGACTATGCATTGATAATAAACAGAGACTTGGACCACACACCCACTCCACTGCATAGCAGGCTAGTGATTGCTTTGCAACACTTGCAGTTAGCCATAGATTCCTTCCAAACCACTCATTGTTGAGTTTGCAACTTGTGTAATGTTTGTATCCAATGGCTGATGAGCAAGGTTTGAAAAGGATTTGCCAGTAGATTGTTGACATGATTCATGAGGATGACTGCTTATCTAGCTAAGATTTTGAAAGTATGGTGTTGACATGATCAGTCCAATCAAAGCTACGGTAGATATAACGTGATTTGACATCATTTTTCTGTGGCCAATGACCTTGAGCCTTCTTGGATGGACACTAATGTAACTCTATGGCAGCACCCAAGGGGCTTGATTTTTCGAGCTCTCCCCGTAGATTTTGCGGTGACGTAGTGTCCCCACGAGTGACAGAACACTGAGCCAATCAGGGCGCAACTAGAGAACATTCGAATACCCATAGTAACATACTGTATACTACATACTTTTAGTTCATTTTAGTGTACTGTGAACGAACGATATCCTTTCAGTTGAGCATACTAGCGCTACGCCTGTCTACCAGAAGTTGATGCTGTTGTTATGCAGCCTCTTGCTAGCATAACAAATTACTACCTAGACATTTTACGAGTTCGGGTGTGTTCATAAATTCAATCTGGAGTGGCAGAGTATGCTCTGGGCGTTTTTTGCGGACGTTTACTGACCGGCCATATTCAACTGGTGTTTAGCGTTCGTAATTTCATCAGTTATTCTGCGCTTTGGCACACTCAGACGAGGGTGCTCTGAAATCGGAGTAGATAGCCAGAGCGAATTTATGTCCATTTAGAACGCACAACTATACCACTTAGCTAAGAATGACGTGAATAATCAAGTCAATAAACGTTTGGTAGTTAGTTAGATATCATATAGTTAATATACTGGCAAGTTCGATGTATTAGTAGCCAACTAACGTTAGGTAGCTAGCTAACATACCGATACCTAGTACAGCTGTAAAGCTATGCGGTGCGTAAGGATAGCGTAGCCAGCAAATTGTCAGCCAACATAACGTGTAGCGTAAATTATTTCAAAAGTCATTACTTTATTACATTGCTTAACATTTGTCATAATTAGTTAACGCAATGAATTTGTATCTTCTCTAGTCGGACTTCGCCACCGTATTT